ATGTATTTTATTGTTGTCTCTTTTCATTTACATGTTACTCAAAATTTCAAAAAAAGAGATGTCAAAAGGTGAATGGTCTAGAAAATATATTTTTTGGTTGTGTTTTTACAGTTCACTTAATTAATTATTATTATGTCGTTTTCTATTAGTAAATTTGGATTCAGTCTAGATTTGCTCCCGATCGTAGAATTTTTTTGCCCAATAGAACATTTTTAGAATAACCTTATATATCTGTAGTAGTGTTAACAGACATCTATATTTTTTTTCTAATACATGTATCGAATCAATTCACCGTTTATCTGTCAAATAATATAAAATACCTGTTCATTTTAGGGTAATCTTGCTACTGTGGCAAAATATCTAGAGTGTTATAAATTTATCTCGAGTGTGTATAACACACTCTCCAGATTTAACAATAGAAAATGAAAATTGCACTACAAGAAAATTAAAAAAAATTTGCCTTTGATTTACTAATCGAAAACGCCATTATTTTTAATATTAGAGTATAGTGCCATTATTGAAAATAATTTTTAAAATGAATCAATAAATGGATTTACGTGTACAAAGGTTCTTTTATGAGTCAGTAGAATATAATTGTAAAAAGTACATAATTTATATTTGACCGTCACTCCTGAAATATTTATGAATTATATTTAGGATTTCCCCAAAGTTAAAAATTCTTTGAAAAATGTTAGTGCTACTAAGGTTTTTCGTATTCACTCTATTTGAATTAATACCAGATTTCCGCTTTAGATTTGACTGATGAAATATGCTTTAGAAATGAATTCATCCGCTAAATATTTCCAATGTTTGTTGTATAGTTGATCAATCAATGTTCGCTCTTAACGTTACTAATTTGACATTCCAAAGCTGATTGTGTGCTTTATTTTTATCAATAAATAAATACAAAAAATGTTAAATAATATTTAAAAAAAAAAGAAAAGAAATTAATTGAATTCCCTTTAAAAATTACGCATTAAAAATTGTCTATTTGGCTTAATTGCTACTGCATATTTCGTGTTCACATTTGAGTTGTTAGAATCCGAATTTGATTTATGGAAGAATTTCTGAATTGGCACAAATTGTCAAATAAATTATTATTTGACAATCAGCTTTATCAGTGCTATCTGAACAAGTGATACTCCGCACAATTTCAACTGCGCAAATTTTTCATTTCTTTACTCATTCCCCACATTGTCACACTTGTTCCACATTCGAAGAACGCATTACCGAAAGTACGGACTCAATATCGCCACTGTGCAGGCCTATCACTTTTCAGTGTGCACAGTCATAGGTTGTCTGCGGTATTTTAGATCTTGTCGTTTTCTATAGCACAACCAAGATAAGTGCTATGCGTGAGTTTAGTGCTTCAACGCCTAGACGAACCTTATCACTTATTCAGTAATTTCAGTATAATTAGGAGCCATTAAAAAACGTATTATAGCTTTTTAAAGAGTTGACACTTAAAATTTAAAGAGCCTTACCCAATCTAAAATATTTTACATCCGTAGTAAATATGAAACTGATAAGTTATCTTTAATTATGTCACATAAATCAAAAAATTTTTTATATGTATATGTGAAATGGAAAATTAATAAGTCTAGTAGAGCAAAACTTAAATTTCATATTCTACGTTTTGGAATTTATAACAAAATAGCTTTCACTGATTTCTGCGCACCCATCATAAATATTCCCGAAATGTGTTCACTGTGAAATGTGGCAATAAAAGTTTCCATTATACTATATATGAGAACTATAATATTAATTAGAGGCAATACATTTATGTCTTAAGAAATTATGATAAAATAAACGTTTTAAGCTGATTGATCTATATACGTAGGAATGAAATTAGATTGCTTACTAACTTTGAGAAACGCCATTTTTTTATCAATAGTGGAACTATATCTTGAACACTATTTTAATATTTCTTAATTTGTAAGAACATACTTAAAATTTCATTTTTTGTACCAACTTATTCTTAATTTCCAAATCATTTAATGTTGACTCTTAGATTACATTATTCATGTGGCCAAACCTTCAGTTATCTACTAATTGGAACTTCGTTACTATAACAATAAGAGAAAATTATATGTAGTGCAACGACTGAATTCCTTGTACGAAAAAAAACTAAAGACAAAAAACTACTCCCTGAAAAACAGTCAATTATCAGTGAGCTGACTTAATTAAAAATGAGTTTATCAACCTTGAAAGAAATCTTTAATTGCATGAATATCAATCAATCAAAAACTCCGATTGACTAAGAAAGATATAATAGAAGCTTTTTTTGACAGAGGAAATTTAAGCCCTGCCTTTAGTTCAATAGTTAGTAATAGTTTAATATGTACTATTACTATTACTAAAATAATAGAAGCTTTAGCAATTACATTAAGCAAAGCAATAACTTATGATAAGTTATAAGTTGTGATGAGAAATGGGTGCAGTAACTACTAAGAATAAACTAAAAACACATTTTACTACAACATTATCAGTAACATTTAAAGTATTTTAAAAAAAATAAAACGATTTTATGCATCTCTTGATTACTATCGACATAGCTTTGATCTACTATCATGAATTTGAATTAAAAACTAGAGACAAACAAGTAAGGTGGATTCAATTATTCGATTTCGAAATGTCGAATTCATAGTTAGAAATTATCAACGACAGTGTTAGCTTCAGTCTTCGAAATGCGGGATTCATAGCTAGGAATTGTGTACTACGGTACTCGCCTCAGCCTTTTGAAATACTAAGGAGGTAGATCAACTCAGATATTGAACACTAACAAAGGAATTAATGGTGTGGAAGGATTAAAAAACTTTTTACTCGAATGAAATAGAATTGTGTTAAATAATAATTCAAATATTTTAATAATATTTTAATAATTCCATCTTGTGCTCTTTAACTTCTTCCGCAAATTTTTTTCATAGTTAAAATCGACTCACTTTTAGGAACAAAAAATGTCACGTACGGTCATGTCAGTAAAAACGATGAATGGTAGATCACATTCATTGACTTTTTTTCCAAAATCCCTTGCAAAAAACAGTATTGATTACCCTTGTTTTTCTAATAATGCACGTTAGATACTTTTCATACAAACAAAAAAAAAAATTTTTAATAATTTATTTCCAATCTTCAGGACATTTCATATTTATCTTTTTCGCGACTGTTATAATAGTAGTAATAATATTGTAATAATATTCTTATGAGCTGTTGCCTTGACATGTCCATAAGGTTGTTATTATAAAATTATTTCATTTCATTTAAATATATTGAATATATATATTTATCCTTTTCCAATATTCTGTATAATTATTACGAAACATGTTTGTGGGATGCACTTAAGGTTGTGAGTATGAAATTAATTAAAGTTAATTAAACACCACGATCTAATGACCCATTCACACTTTGAATGGGTTTACACAAGGTGTAAATCGAAATGGGATTCTCTAAATATATCAGATGTTTGCTTTAAAAATTGTATACGTCAAAAAATAATTCCTGGCTTCAAAAATTAAATATATGACTGATTATTAGATTTAGCAAATGAGTCTAATATTAATGAAAATCTAATACTGAAATATTTAATTATCTACAAAGTATAGTAACATAAATATTTTCAAAATTGTTTCACATACAATACTTCTGTTTTTTTTTTTCATTTTTGTTCATACCATTGATATGTTCTCTGAAATCATATATTATCTGTAAACCCGCCTTAACACCCAATATCTACAATTTATTGATCTGCCGGTTTTATAAAAATTTATATGAGCTAATAATTTCTTAAATTGCATATTTCATTCTAATGTGAATGTACTTTGACACATATTAAAATTTTTTAATCTCTAATCTTTAAAATTATAATATATAAAATGTTATTATAATAATAATTATTATTAACCACTGAAGTAAAATGTAATTGAGATTTTTTAAATGCTGATAGCGAACACCTTGATTTGTTATTACGTCAAAAAGTCTAACGCAACCTATCAAAAGTATATTTATATTGTAAATATTCAGGCATAGATTTATATATTCATATACTATACTATTATATAGTATACAAAACTGGTAGGAAATTCAGTATCAGTATCCGTTATCAGTATCCCTTTTTTTTCTCCTTTTAAATCTGATTGAACTCATTGTCTGTGGTAATCATATATACATAGTATAATTTATTCAAATATTAATTCCATGTATATATATATAAATTTTTATTTGTATATAATATATGCATAAAATTCATATTCGTGTGTTCAAATTAGCAATAATCACTTGCGAACTTGACCTATGATTGTATAAAATAAGTAAAAAAAAATTGCATTAATTACATTTTCGACTGATGCCGACTTGACCGATAACAAAGAAACGTGGTATCAGTTGGATTACTCGTTAATCAATTATTAATCAGACAATTTCTTTGATTAATTTATATAATTTATTATATTTTATTCGTTATAGACAAGGACCAAGGTACACATGCACCTTGTGTACCTATTTAATTAATTATGCAATTATTTAATTTTTTAATATATTAATATAATAATGTTTAATTAAAATTGTATTAACTTCTATTTTAAGGTCACATTGTCTTCAGTGCTCTCGATGATACTTCCCACTCCGTTCATGCGTATAATATAAATGGCACAAGTCTTGGTTCCAAATATGTATCTGGTAGAGTTACAGGCTTGGCAACAGCATCCGATTATATTGTTGTTGCTGATGATGCAGGCGATATAACAGTCAGTCGTTTGAACGGGTAAGTGCAGTAAGAATTTTTATATTTATTATTTCAAATTTTTTATTTTATAACATTTTTAATTTTTTTTTTTGTTTTAATTTTAAATTAATTCGTTTAAAAATTTTGTTTATTTTCTTGCAGCCTTAAGCCTGTTTTTGACATTCCACTACACATTCCAATACAAACTGTTGTGGTAACACCTGGTAATACACATATATTAGCTCCGCTACGTGATGGCCGTCTAGCAGTGATAGCAGTTCAAGTTCCCATTGGAAACATTAAAAAGCATTCCGTAATCAATGTTTAGTAAGACTAGAAAGATTAAGAATCGACTTTATAGAACTGAAAGTTATATGAAAAAAAACTTACAAAGTTCAGAATATATAAATGCTAAAATTGCAATTGCTTAAAGGATAAATTTTAGCAAAATGCTTTTTACTTAAGATGTAACTCCACATTTTATCTTGCATCCTTACTGACACATACTGTATACAAAACATCACAACAAATAAATTGAGAAAATATCAACAAATATGAAACCTTAATAAAGCCAATGATTTATAATCAAAAAGAGGGGAAACACAGAAAATTAAAACTGCAACAGTAATGGTGAAGCAAGGAACGTGAAAGTATTTAAATTCAATTAAAGTCCTTAGAAGCTCACAAAAGGATGTTAATTCGATGTTACTTTTTATACATATTTATATTTTCTTTTACTGTTTTGTTTATTATATATTTCCGCAAAAAAGTAAGTAAATAAATCAAATTAAAATTGTTTGTATATGCGAAGCCATACTATTGCTTAAATTTTATTTTTCTTTCTACGCTGGTATGTAAGAATCAATTTAATACTACTCGTATTTAAAAAATTTTCTCAGCTATTTAAAAGCAACATAACAGAATTTATTATTTAATAATAAAAAGAAACAATTTATTATAATATTTTATGATAAAATTAGATCACTTCTATATAGTGAAGAGTATATTTACTTCTTAAATTCTATTCCCAATATTACACGGTATTATTTATATTTATTAATATTAACAAAAGCATAGGTAAATATTTAATTTAAAATATAATAAATCTTAATTTTAATATAACAGGAGTTCTGCAGTTACTTTCTTACCACATATTCTTTTACTAGCAATCCTCCAGTAATGATTCATATATTATGTACATAAGAATGAACATGAAACAAGTTGGAATTGAGTTTATACTCAATTACTTATACTCAATGATTACTTTATAGTAATCATGTATTGATTATCGATCCTGTAAATCGATCATCGATGTAAATCTCGATGGTCCTGTAAAAAATCTTGCAAAACTTCTCTGGATTACTGAGGATATTTCTAACAATATAATGAACTACCATTTTTATGTTATAGAACTATATAATAATATATAATATATTATATAGAATGTAATAATATGTAGTATAATATATCAACAAAGAACTTTAATTTTTATTTTGGATTCCCGTGCTTATCCAATCGGTAATTTTTTTTATATTCACGCTTTTTTTTATATTTTCGCCACACGAAAAATTTTCGACTTTTTGTATAGACGCCAAACAAAAACTAATCGTACGATATGCGTTAAACTTTGACAGAATGTGTATAATAGTGTTGCCAGCGTGAAAATAAAAAAAATTTACCGATTGGATAAGTGCGGGAATTCAAAAATAGTCCTCTCGTTCTTTTTTGATAAGAAGGTATATAATATAATATATAATAGTATAATATATATTTATAATATATATTATATTAAAGAATAATATATTTATTATATTTGTTTACACGAGATATATACTGAATCATTATTCTTGCAAACTTTAAAAAATGAAAAACTATATCAAATTATTCATATGCCTATTAATTAAATGAAACTTATAATAAATAAATAAATTAATTAAATAATAATAAAACAATTACTAAGTATCCGAATTATCAACAGCAAATAGCATGTTTTATTTTAATAATAATTTCACTAATATTTTCATATCAAACAGCAAATTTATGTTAATAGTTTTACTTGCAACTATTAATATCATATATTATAACAAACATACTAAATAAGAAATTATTACTGGAGGTTGATAACATATATTTATATACTCTTATATAAACACATAAAATAAAATGAATGTTTATATGATAATAAATAACTTTATATTTGACTTAATTTAATAAACCATAATTCTCTATAACTTTTTTATATGCAGTTTATGAACTCAATTGTTATCTGGTATTTTTACTATCAAAATTTTTATTTCAACTATAACTATACAGCGTGTATCTTAAGAATAAATTATCAACCAAGTAGCAAGTATCAAGACCACACAAGCAATAATTGATTAATAATTAAAACTTCAGTAAATTGATTTAGTAATTAAAATAAGAAAATTAGGAAGAGTTCAGTAATGTGCTTAAAGAGTCTGAAAATTAAATAATAAAAGCTATTTCATTGCATTGTCGTTTGTTAAATTTGCAGAAAATTTTATAAGAACTCCGTCCAAAAAAAAATCAGAGACATACATATACACTATGAACATATTTGAACAGTACTGCAATCGCATAGCTCTTTCCATCAATGAAGCTCTTAGACTTGCTTATGATATAAATACATTACCAAATTATTCGTTATATATAAAATATGTATAGAATTAAATAAATAATAATATTGCAACCGTTGGTTTCGCACAGTAGTAAAATTTAAAAAACAAAAAAAAATTTAAAAAAATATTTTATTGAATAAATTTAAAAACCAAATTAGAAAATAAAACATTAGGTAAACAAAATTAACAAAATATAAATTAACTTGTTATATATTAACCTATTGAAAGTCAATTTAAACAAACTTCCCGCATACTAGTATTTTAAAACTACTTTAGAAATTTGTTGTTTTTTTTTTGGTAATGTTATTTAATATTAAATAATAAAAAATGTAATCTAAATATAAATAATAAAAAAAAATAATAAAAAAAAACATGATTACGTATTTTACATAATTACGAAAAAACTATTTAATGTAAAAAATTTTTATAATTCAATTATAATAAAAACATTTAAAATGAAAAATTAATATAATAAATGTACTATAAATCTTTTGAATTTTAAATAATTATTATTTTTATTTAATATACTGAAGCAATTAAAAAATCTTCCCGCTTAACACGATTGTCACAATATCCGAATTGCTACTCCTGTATACATAGGATCTCCCTAACTAAAATACCACTCAGACACGTAGAACTATATTTGAACTTTTATAATTAGAGATAAATAATATTATAATCAATTGTCCCTTATTATTCTCTTATTTAAATCGTTTTTATTCTTGAATAACCACCTTAATATTTAATCAATTGTTGTGAAACTTGTTAATGAAAATGCGTGAACTCTTCATCATTCTAACGCTATAGCTGCTCATGCGACGAAAGCGTAGATATGTAACATATGTTCATCTGATCGATAGAATTTTGATACGCTAAAGAAAATATTTCTTCACGTCGTATTGTTTAAATAACAATTACAAGTATAAAATTGACGCAAACCAACGGTTAGATCTATAGTCTTTAATCTACTGATTAATATCCTTGAAAATAAGTTCTTATCGTCAGTGTTAAATCAATCTACCATAGACCAGAATCAATTTATAAAACATCCTTTTCGCCTGAATGTTCACTAACAAAATTATGTTTCAAATATACCGAAATTTTTGCCTTTTTATTATAGATGCACTTACTAATTATTGTTTTAGTGAAACGAATTTTCTTGTTATGTCCTTACCAATATACATATTTTGGGTATACTCAATGAATAAAGAGAATTTTAAAAAGCTACTTTTTCTTTTTTATTGTATTAAGCGATTTTTATGTATTGGTTACACTGCCAGCAATGCATCTGTTAGTTAAGATATAACTATTATGCTTAGTTTCTATTTACTAAGCGAATGAACAAGAGTTGAATTAGTTAGAAAGTCTAGGTGTAGTTTAGTACTCAGTGAATGAGCAAGACAATGTCGAATCAAAGAGTTTGTGTATAATTTAATTTGGAAAAGGGACAAGCAAAGCATTCAAAATATCAAAAAAAGATTATTTGCCTCGATAGTATGATACAACCACGAAATCATGAATAGTACAATAGCTTTGAAGTCAAGATAAAATCGTGATAGCACGTCCATCTCTGATTAAGATATAAAAACAATTAAGCAGAGAGCACTTTCTAATTAAACAGTTACTATTAGAGAGGTTTTTTATAAAATAAGATTGTCATTTGGCTCATGTGAAGCGATTTTATGCTTGTTTCAGATATGAAAAAAGTAGCAACATAATTGAAAAGCTTTTCCTTACCCAAAGCTGTAATACTGCAATCACCCTTTTTTCCAGATATGGCTATTTAGTTGGTTGATTTAAGTGATCACTTTCTATGAGTCCAATTATCCACTGATTTTCCGGTTGTTTGTGGTGACAGTATGATTAAATCCAGTCTATGCTTTTGAAGTTTGTAATATTAATTATCGCTAGCTACCCAAGATTATTTCAGATCGCTTAAAGGCTAGCTGAAAAGATAGAAAATAGTTTCCTTTTCCTCTGACTGGTTGTAGCTGAAGTAGTAAAGAATAAGTATAATGACCTTAGCTTAGTTTAGTTTAAGTGTTATACATACTTGTAAAATATTTATGCTGCCGTCAAAGGATTTTTTAGCATAAGTAATCTTCGGTTCAGTTCAACTGAAAATAATAAATGAACCGCACGTTACCACCTATAGCTTTCTTTCTTATATTTTATGCATAATTGTTACAAATACTAGATAATACTAAATAACTTAACTAGTTATTTCTCTCACATTGTGACATGCTCTTAAGCTCCGCAATCACTTTCAAAATCATTTGATCTGTTTAATTTGTATTTGGGATGCCTAAACACTTCGCCCAAGTATCACAACATAATAAATGTATGTACTTTGAAATTGCTTAAGTTTATCTTCAATATTAAATTAATTTAATTTAAAATAAAAATAATCATATTATTGCAATAAAAATATTTTTATTTTTTTAACAATTAATTATATTTTATTATAATAATAATTTTGTTTT